TCTTCGCACTCCATATATAGACTAACATATTTGCGCTGTTGCCCCCAACCACACTTGGAGTGGGTTGTTTCCGTAGGTGGATTTTTGACACGGGTCTTGCCCGTGTTGAGATTGCGCTGGAACCCCCATTCCCTATACTACTAAGGGCTCGTTCACACTAGGTCCATTTAAGATGAAAAAGAGTGGGTATACGTTAAAGCCACTCACTCCTTTCCATGTGGGATGTGTTTAGCAAAACTAAACAGAACGTGCATCATAGTCAATTTGATCTATTTCAAAGATTATCTGCTATGGAAACATGATTTTGGGATTTTTACTTTTTTATTCATTGAGAAAGGACCATACTTCCAGACATCGTGTGCTAAACCGTCGTATGCCAGCGCGAAGCATTTACGGCTACGCCGGAGATTTCGACCCCGACACCGCTATCCGGAGATATATAGACTGATCAGGAAGCTCGGCAGAAGCCTGAGGGAGAGGTTAGTCGGCCCCTAGACCGTAGATGATTAACCTCTTGCTATGACCAGCAAACTCAAAAATATTATTGATGACGCTAATGGCTTTGAACGCGTACTCACTCCTTTCCATGTGGGATGCATTTAGTAAAACTGAACGGAACGTGCATCATAGTAAATTTGACGTGTTTCAAAGATTATCTGCTATACACATAGGATGTCTATTGACTATCTGGTGTCTATTATGTCTATATGTACTTATTTCAATAAAGTTAGTCCAAAAACCTAGAAAGCTGTGATCACTGAAAATCATGGGAGATGTTTTATATCCAACAAGGAAAGCTTTTGACACAAACTGCTGCAGCTGAGGATGCTCGAAGGAGGTCAACTTGTAACTGGTAGAAGATCTCAAGTCCATCAACAGTTATCAAGCGGTTGAAACATGTAAAATGTATCTACCCATAATCCTTGCCGGTCTCAGCTTTGTAGCTTTTCAAGTGACTAACTTTATTTTATTTCTTAATAAGCCTTTTCATAGTTTAAGAATCGATTCCACTGCGCATGCGATTTTATCCCGAATTTCTCACCTTGTTTTGTCTAAACCTTCTTTTGTTCTTAATTAAACAAAAGAAGGTGAGAAATTCGGGATAAAATCGCATGCGCAGTGGATTCTATTCTTAAACTATGAAAAGGCTTATTGACACGGTTTTCTTTGTTATTCACTAGGCTTTATTTTTGTTATAACCCTCATTATAAATGCGAGGTCAATATATAGTTATTAACCCGGTTAATAACTATATATATAGACTTCGCATTTATAATGAGCAACATTTGATAGAAAACCTCAATTGATAAATAAAATACTTAATTACCTCGAACGTCGGCAATAAGCCTATACATCCCTCGGGCCTGTTGCTCTCGGGATGTACAGTCAATTCAAAAAACGTTGTCGTCGACCGGTTCCGAGCCTACGCTACTGGACCGAAAGGAATATGGGTAAAAATCACTGAAGCGGTTAAATATTCGTTCTGAATTAATTGTTCCCGCTAGTAGCAAAGATAATAATGGCGAGTAAAAAATCTATTAAATGCATGTCTTCTTGGGTTTAAGGRRARAAAAACAAAGTAGTTRTGATTCAGTTCACAATCCCGAAAATATGAAGGCACTRAAAAAAGTCTCCTTCAACATTTCCGCACGCCTACGAAGGTTCGTGCTTTAAACCAGGCATAACTAGTCAGATAAAATTATGGAGTCAACTCGGCTTCAATGATTGCTACCCAGAGTTCCTTTCGGTCCAGTCGCGTAGGCTTGAGTTGGTCGACGACAACATTTTTTGAATTGACTGTATATGGCTTATTGCCTCCGTTTTCGGTAATTAACTCTTAAAAATAAGTGTATACACAATGGATGTGTATATTCTGTGTATGATCGCATCTCACTAGCACCATCCACACGGTCTACTCTATGAATGACGTCAAAACGTGATGAAACTTCGAATGTCAACTAAAAGCAAGTATGAATATGCCGAGGAAAATTGACGGAAGAATAGCGTAATATGAAAAGGAAGAAGAGACGAGTGGAACTAAATCTGCGATAGTTTAATATAGTTTCCAAACCCTTAGACATTTTGGAACCTTGTTTTGGTAAGACTACCTTTTTAAAGGTCTATGGTCGTTTATAGAAAGTGTGAGGTTTCTCGAAAACTTAGCTTGGATCGATCTCGGATCTATTCAAACTATACCGATCTAAAATGGATCTAGAAAGAAAGAGCCTAAAGAGAACACAAGAGAGCCGTTTGCAATAACGCTCCATCTTCCAAAGTAGCTGAGAACTCAAATGGAACGGGCATGGAATTAATTTTCGAAATGCCAAAATCACAGACAGTGATGAGAGCTGTAACTACCAAAGACTATTTCTGGAAGCTTGGTACTCGATGAACGATACTAAGTCTAAGAACGACTTATCAAGCTTCCAGAAATATATAGAACTCTCGTACTCTAGGACTCTAGCGCGCGCGCTGGTACGAACATTTTTGAATATGCGGCCCAAAATACAAATGGCACACTGAAGAATATCCGTGTTCGCGGATTGAAACGTTTGGGAAATTGTTTCAAAATTTTAAGTCAGAGACAAACATTAGTCAAGTACACCTTTTGCTGTTCATTAACCGCAAAGGAATATTCATTAAAGCGAAGAAGCATTGTCATTAGAGCGAACAGGCATACAATAAGGCGAACGGAGTCTCAATAGTGCGATGGAACCTTCATTAAGAAATTTAGCATTGAATTTGACAATCATGAATATGTTTGCGTGGGTTCATTAACGTTTTCATTAGCGTTTTGGTGCAGACAATAAAATACGACACACATTCAATACAGCGTTGTGGACATTTATTTACGCAATACAATATAAGTATATTTTTCACTAGGAATTGTAGGATTTTAACTGTCTTTTCATTTTTTTACAAGCCGTGAATATGATTTCGTACAAACAAAGCGCCGTTAGGTATAAATACCAAGTCAGTTCTGAGTTTTTTAATCCGTCTTTTTTGGATATTGCAATGGTTCAACAAAGAAACCAAATTCAACAGTAAAGTAAACAATGCACAACTTCAACAATACAAACACTTTGAAACTCGACGGACCTTGACTGGAACACGTGAATATTCTGCACAAACTCGAGGCTAATCCTGTGCAAATGAGTCTGTAATCAAGAAACACAGCGGTGATTTGGAATTCGAAACGGGTCTATTGTAATATTACAAAGTAATAGTATGACATTTTGAGTCTGTAGTGATTAAATGTCCCCTCAAGCCTCGGGAGGTCTAAAGCGCGATAGCACGGAGCAATTTTCTCTGCAACTTGTCTCACAACGGCGTTGCGACACAAGTTGCAGGAGTGTCTACACGGTGCAACGGAGACACAATCGTTGCCAAAAGTAGAAACGAATTCTACTTCTCGCAACGACTGCTGCAACTTGTCTCGTAGGTTACACGCCGCAATGCTGCATGCAACTTGTGTCGCAACGCCGTACCTCAAGTCATGCTATTACTTATAATCAGTATTCTTCTTCTTTTTTAGTACCTCGAGGTTTCAAGTAGATCTTGGTGGTCTTTACTTCATTTGTTCTGTCGCAGTACAGGGGCACCTCCAAGGAGAAGAGCAATGGGTTACGACTTTTAAGATGTCAGTCTCAATTGACGGCAGGAAATGGAAGTTCATTTCTGGTCCAGGCGGGAGTGATGTAAGTATCAAACACAATTATCTTTTTAAATATTGGTAATTAAACTGAGTGGAAAGTAATTTGGTTTGAAATCAAACTTGCAATTACAAATCGCGCGTTTGATTTCAGACCAAATTGCACTCCACTCAGTTCAATTACCATACTATATATCTTTTCTTTATATTGTGAAATAGTCAAGTTTTACATATAGCGCACTCCGGGATTTATTAAAATGCGGCAAGAGAAAATGTTCATTTTCTCTTGAGTGAGGACATGAGCAACATCGTAATGCCGGTATTTATCACGTTGGGTTTCGTGCGGGTGAAGTAAGTACTACATGCGACATTGTTCTTCTCTTTCTTTTTTTAAAGATATTTCAGCGCAGTGGCAGGTTAGCTTCAGAATTGTTTATTGGTCTCGATACAGCCTACAGATACGTTTCCTTCAACCCGTTATCTTACAATAAGCGCCCTTGTATGGGCATAGAGTTATATGGAGTCGGCCGTAAGTTATAAAAACAGATTTCGTCTTCTTTACATATCCAAACATAACTGCGCACCTAGCAGCACCCTAACAAATGTATTTCCTAATTCTTATGATCCAATATTCATCTTAACAGCTATCAAAGGTACTTTATTCTTTACTTTGAAGACGCTACGAACACACGGCAAGTATACTCAACCCTCATGACTCATAATTTGCTTTTGTCACAAATTGAATTCAGAATTTCTCAATCCTTTTTGTCTTGTTTTTGTCTATGCATTAGATGATTTTAACAAGGAAAGTGCATAATAACTCCAGTATCTAGACAGCAATAAATGAAAATTCATCAACATTACATGTCTGAAGACATATTCCACCGTTATCAGTCTGATGGCAAATCTCACATTAACCCAAACGAACCTTACCCTTACCCTTACCCAAACCTAACCCTGACGAACGTTTAGTTAAACTCACACTATCTCGCCTAAATATAACCTTAACCGCGAACCATAACCTAGCCTAACTTACCATAACGTTATCAAAACAGATAAACCTAGCCCTAACAAACCTTACTCTAAACCTAACAAACCTTGCAAACCCTAATTTACCATAGAAAATCTCACCTTAGCACTAACTTCCCCTAACCCTAACGAATGTTTCGTGTGTGATCGTGCGAAATACAAAGCATTCAACCGAGGCTACAAGGTTCAAATTTGGATAATTAAAAGTTATAATTACCTTGACGCCTGAATTACTCTTCCTTTTTTAAACGATACTTAAAACAGGAAGCGCATGCGAGCTCCAGAATAAATGCCCCCACAGGACACAGTGCATAATTGGTAGCTTTCCTGGTAGCTACAGCTGCAGATGTCCAGAGGGATTCGTTTCCTCTGCAGCAGGAGGACCGGCAATTAAACCTGGAACAGATGAACACTGCCGGAGTAAGTCATCAATATGTATATTAGATACCTTGTACTGTAAATTGGTGTTTAACCGCTACCCGGCTCGCTCATGCATGTGTTGCGGGAGGTCGTTGGTTTAATTCTCAGCAAGGCCAACACTCAGATAGGGTCTTTGGATCTTAAGCACGTGGCCTCAATATGTAACTTTAGGTGCTCTCTTTGTAGCTACATCTATAAATGAGGAAAGTACTTGCATTTGAAGAGCTTGTTTCACRTGCAGGTCAGAACATAGAGGTAGTGCACTATCTCTATCTGTTATCTGTTTTCATAGTGAAACATTCTTTTTGTTTTGTTTATTCTTCTTTCTCTTGACAGTTGATTTATTGCCAAAGAATTGTTAGAGAAAACTTGGACAACGCATATAATTGAAAAAGCTTGGAATTAATTTGCATAATTTCGTAACGTGGAAGGATCTTGTTTTTAATCTGACAACAATAATGACCCCATCATTATTATTATTATTTTTATTATCATTATTATTATTATTATCATTATTATTATTGTTGTTGTTATTATTGTTATCATGTAATTTGAATTGAGTGTCGCTTTGATTGCTTTAAGGCATTAATCCTACTGGAAAGAGCATTGTTCTTGAAGTTCATAAGCTTCCACAAAGAAGACAGTTAGCAAAATCAAGAGCATCTGCAGCTGAAATATTCAATGGGCATTCTAAATGGTTCTTGTCACTTACAATAGTATTAAAAACAATGGCATGATATACTTTGTGGATGCATGTTGAGACTTTAAAGCACGGTATATTTACTTTATAACCTAATGACTGGAATATATTACGCTAAATAAAACTGCTAAAAGCTTCGTTGCGTTAATCGTCGCCTTCGTCAGTGTTCAATAGAGCGTTTTCACGTGACGTCACAGCGGCCATTATGGGGTACCAAAACAATACATTTTCTGTTCTCCGGGAATTGAACTCTATTTTTATGCAAATACTGTGCAGAAAGTTTCTATCGTTTATGGCTGCCTTCGCACGTGAGCGAAAACGCTCTATAGACCTTATTAGTTCAGGCATTTATATCGTGTAGGTTGGATTACGGAAACAGCCTTCCACAATATAAACTTCAACGAATTCAGAATGCTTCTGTCTAACGACTCAAGGGCGGACCAAGGGAAGGGGTCAGGACCCCACCCTTTACGACTCGCTGCTTTCCCCTTCTTTAAACATACAAAATATTATACAGAGAATTATAAAATAACTGTTATGAATGTCGCGTTCTGATTGGTTTGGAGCGCGTGCTTTATGAGAGCACATTGCACGCGCGCGCACTTTCCGTTGCGTCATTCCTATCTATTAGTGTAATTTGTATTTTATAAAAGAAATAAAAAACTTACTTGCTGTGCTGTGTGCAGTCATAAAGCACTTGGGGGTTGGCAGAACGCTCGAGAAACACTCGTTTTCTATTTCTTCATTATTACATTATGATATCGTAAACCTTGGGGGTTGGCAGAACAATCGAGAAGTGTCCAGAAGCACTCCGCTACGCGTCGTGCTTCTTCTAACACTTCTCTCGTGTTCTGCCAGCCCCCGTGTGCTTTATGACAGCACACAGCACGCGCGCGCGTTTTCTATTTCTTTATTATTATAAGTAATACCATGGCAATGAGGGATGTTAGTGATTAAATGTCCCCGAAGCCGAGGGAGGTTTAGTGGAAGGCCCGAGGCCGTAGGCCGCAAAATGTCTGATCAATCTATCTGATTTATCGTCTCAAGGGAGATATTAAACTTTGTACCTCATGTTTTTGTTTTATCCGTGTAAACATTGGCAAAATATTTGGGAAATTGGTAGCATACTAAGGCCTACTTAATTATAGCCTACTAAATCAAAATTCATTGTTTAAAGAACTTTGACTGAATGATTACTCTTGGAAGCACAAGTAAGAGAGTGTTTGGTTAGCAAAATGCTAATTAAAACCTAAAATGTTTTCTTAAAACTGCTTCAATGACACAATAATTTTTTTTTAAGAACTCTCATTGGAATGTCTCTTTGTCAACACAGAAAACATATAAATTAAGGAATAAATTTTTGCTCGTGGAAGCTTGTAAAGAGGTGGAAGAAATCGGACCGACAGCAATTAATTTGGGTGGCATTAATATGCAAGGAGCGAATTTAGCCAATTTTAGCATAAACATTAATATCAACAAGTAACGTTCAATTGGAAAAATTAAACATTTATTATTACAATCAGTTCTAAATAAGACGTGTGAAAAATCAATAAAGTGGTTGAATAAACGTTAACTTCTTGCTTTTTGTTTCAAAATGGCTTTGCGCATGCGTGAAGGCTGCCCTTGCACCGAGAAAATTAACATTTGTGTAAAACATTAGATTGTAACAAGTTGATAATTTTAGTCCATTATAACGCATGCGCAAAGTTTGTCCTAGCGTGTAGAATCCGACTCTAAGATCAATTTCTCTATCCCACATTGAATAAAGCCTGTGGCAGGGTGGTATACATCCTCACACTCGGTGTCCCGATGATTATGTTACATGAGGGACAACCTCTCATGAATAACATGAGGGATATTTAGTTTCTAAATATCCCTCATTCATATGGATCAGGGACGATTAGTAAGTAATCGTTCCTCATTCATATGGATGAGGGATTTTTAGTTTCTAAATTTCCTTCATGTCATTCATGAGGGAGGGATGTTAGTGATTAAACGTCCCTCCAAAAACAATGGATCCCGAGGTGATCATGGTATTATTATATTGTGATATCTTTGGGGATCTCAACCTTGGGGGTTGGCAGAACACTCGAGAAGTGTCCAGAAGCACTCCGCTACGCGTCTATTTCTTCATTATTACATTATGATATCGTGAACCTTTTTTTATTGAAAGTCATGACTATTATGTAGGTTTATATGTGTTATTATGAAATAACTGTTCTAAATCTCGCGTTCTGATTGGTTGGGAGCGCGTGCTTTATGAGATGAGAGCACACAGCACGCGCGCGCAGTTTCGTCATTCATTAACTTTGTATTTCATAAAAGAAATAAAAGAGGTATAAAGAACTTGGGGATTGGCAGTAATGACATTGAAAGTAATATATAATAGCAGAGAAATCRACTGGAATAAGAACTAGTACTGTTCCCAGGTAGGATTTCAAAACAGAAAAGCTAAAAGTAAAAAGTTAACAAATGCCTACTATTCCTCGCTCTGATGCAAGTAATAAGTTAAAAGTTTTGAAGTTTTTAAAGTATCTGATATTAAAACTATTTTTTTCTTTAAATATTTTGATTTATTATTAACGAGTAATATTTATATTTATATTTTTAAATAGATATAAAATAAAAAGCAAAATAAATAAATAAATAAAAATCTCCGATCCGAATAAGTTTGGATTGGATTAGACGGTTTTCGAGATGCTCGAGTGCTTTCATAAATAGTACTATATACTCACTGAATACCATTGTCACGTCRCAGTAATTAAGTTTGGGGCAAGATCCGCGACGTGATGAGGTAAACAGCAAGGGGAAAGAGGTACGCCACCGTCACCAGGGGAGGGGGGTGGGCGAACTTGCCCTTCCGATGTCTTGCGAGGTAATGCGACGAAGCACGTGTTTCGGGTTAATTTATACTGTTCCGCGCTAATTTATTCAGTGAGAATATTGCAGGCGCGTACTTGAGAGGGATTTTCGGTCATTGTTTATAACAAACCTTTGGAAACTATAGAGTTATAGGCCCATTTTTAAAACCACAGAAGAAAAGATGTTGTTTTAAGTGAGTTGTATTGTTTAAAAGTTCCTGTGCTCTCTGATTAAACCAAACTTGATTTATTTATGATTTATGATTTATGATTTATGAATTCATATAGCGCCTGAATATAATCAAAGGCGCTTTACATTGAGAAGTGATTGACAGATTGCTTTTATGCAATTTACAAGCATGAGAGATGGTTAGTATGAAGTGTAGGCACTGAGGGTGGTCACTGCCAGGGTTTCTTTACGTCCTCAGTGGTTCTTTTTCGTCCCTCCGATGTTGGTTAGTAATTATGAGTGTGGAGAGAGGGGACCGCCATTTAAAGTGGTCATCCGAGCCACTTGAAAGTGTAACCATTTGCAGACGTAATTACAAAGGCAGCACTTTCTCCTCAGTTATTTTAAGACTCTGAGTGTTGGTCCGGCCGGGACTCGAACCACGAAAGAACCACGAAAGTCCGATGCTCAACGTACCAACTGAGCCAACCGGTTGGCGGTTAACTTCAAAGTATTCCTTCGTTAACATAATTTCAAAGTTTTGTATGTGTTTTCCTATAGCGCGCGCAAAATCTTGCCCGCAAATGCCTAGTCCAGAACTGGACCCACTTTTCTTGCATCTACACCCACCTAACTTACTACTCTTCTTTCTGGGGCAACTGCACTGATCTACTCCTTCCTGAAACTGTGAACCCGATCCCTACGATGTTATTAGGATGAGAAAATTCTCCTTTTATCAAGGAAGGCGGAACAGTTTTTAAAGTCCCACACACCCAAATATTAGACAAAATCAAATTTGCACGACTTATCTTCTTATTCTAAAGCTCTCACAAAGAGTGGTCTTAGACGCTTTCATTATTCTGCTTCTATCCTTTTCAATTTTTTGCATCCTGATCTAAAGCAAACTTTGTCAACCTTACGACCTACCAATGTCTCTTTTGTTCCTCCTTCTCTAAAACGTCAGTACGTTCTCTTTTCCTGGACAAATTAAACTCTGCAGCTCAACTTGAAGACCTTCTCTGCATGTAAATGTGTCGATCACTAGGTAAATATTATTATACTAATTTCTATTATGTCCACCAGAGTTTTCTGCCTTGTTGTTTTTTAATTTTTTTCATTTTTATATCGTATAGTTTCTTATATATTTTTCAATTATTATAGTTTTTACTTTTTGTTTTCTAGGGCCATAAGTTAGGCAACTGAGAGGTTAATTATTTTGCTCTCGTACAATAAAGATTTGTATAGGTTTATTCGCGACTCGTGCAATTTCAAAACTTTGAAAACGCTCGTGAAATTAATCCTCAATTTTACTCGGCTGAATACGATTACCCGTTTATCATATATAAGGCAAGATTCAACGAAAAAATCCGTCTTGAAACCAATGTAATGCCCGTGCGTTGTCATTTCAGTTTACGACAAATCACTAATGTAGTTATGGTTCAAAAGAATTTTATTCAGAATTCAAACGTGTTTTTTCATTACATGTGCTCTCTTCTATCAAACTTTGGACAATAATACTTCAAGGTTTTCTCCTGTATAGTGAATGGCGAGCAAAATACCGAAGGTTCTGAGGTTATGAATATCTGAAGTCGGAGAACTTGATACAAGAATCACTTCTCAGATGTTTCGGGAAAGCATGGCACAGTGGGGAACTTGCATTTAGCAACAGTACCAAACGTTTAAAATGCCGGAGAAGTACAAGGCATTCTCGGACACAACTGCAAAATCTACCACAGGTGGCCCAACAATTTTCTGACCAAACTGGGCCAAAATTAGTCTAGAATTTTGTCGTACGTGGGTACCATGATTACTATATAGAATTTGTTTAGCTTTGTTACTACCAAGTCTTTTCATTTTTACTGAGCTTTCGCACTACTAGTGCATAAAGATATAGAAATATAGATAAGTTATAGTGCTTGGGAACGAGGTTATTCCGGGCAAAAGCCCTTGGAATTAAATTCGGAAAAATTAATTTCCGACCTCGCTATAAGCACTATAACTTATCTATATTTCTATATCTTCATGTATTTCATAAGTGCTATGCGGTCCACATATTCTCTACTAGTGCATAATTAGGACTAAAGTAATTTGCAAACAACGATTCATACAAACTAGAAAATTAAAAAGAAATGGTAGCAACAAATTTTGTAGTCGTCCCATGGTGCTTTTCGGGTTCCCTAGAATCGCTCAAGTCACGTGTACGATTTGGCTCGACGTTCTGGTTCGACTTGAGTTTCGAAGAGATATCGTTATTCTTGCTAGAGAAAATTGGAAAGAAGGCTTTAAACTTCTAAATATGTCAGATTCTTTACATAAGGAGAGATATCCTTGGAGCTCTCGAGAGATCGAGATATTAATCGCTTTGTGGGATAACGAAGAAGTTTTGTATAATACACGATGTGCCGACTATTTCAAGCGCGACAAAAGAATCGAAGCGTTGGATAGAATAAGCGACACGCTCAAAATACCAAGTAAGTATACCAGTTCATGTATAATTTTTTACTTGGTTTTTTCCCGAGTATCAGTTACTTTCTTATAGCGATTTATAAAATTGATTTATCTTTTAGTTCCAGAAATTCGAAAAAAGATGACAAATTTACGAACATATTATGGCAAAGAACTATGGAAAGAAAAGAAGGCGCAAACGAATGGAGATGAGACAGATCCAGCTAAGGGATACACTTCAAGGTGGCTTTTTTTTAAGCCACTGAGCTTTTTGCGAGATAACTGTAATCCTAGACCTAATACTAAAACTTGCTTAGATGAACAGTGTATTAGAGACGACAGTGGAGACCAGGTGTACGTCTTACATAATGGTGAAGATGATAGTAACGATCGTGATGATTCTTGGGATGAATCAAATTTACTTGCTTCTTTAACTTCAGTTGATGATGAAAAAGAAGAAAGAAAAGAAGATAAAAGAATGAATTCTGTATCAAGTGAGCATAAACAGGATAATAGGCCAGTGTCTAAAAAGACAGAAAAGAGGAAGAAATCTGGGGGAGATTTAGAAAATGTTATTGCCAAGTTACAAAGATCATCAAAAACTGAAACACAAAAAGAACAGAAGAATCAAGGAGTTTCAATCACAGAGCTTATGTCAGGAAACCCAGATATGGTATTTGCTCATCATGTTGGATTGACATTGATGAATATAACAAATCCAAGAATAAAAGACTTGACAAAATTGAAAATTCAACAGGTTCTTTATGAGACTCAATATGTAAAGGATACACCCCAATCAGTACAAGCTTGTCCAATCACAGGATTGCCAGGAAGTACATGTTAGCATACTTGAGAAAGTGCATTTTACATATATAATAATTAAATAGTAATGAACTATATCAATTATTACTTATTTTATTGATGGATATAGGAGGACTTATGCACTTGTCATCAGCTTCCACGAGGGGGGGACCCCGGGCAAATGTGGGGACTTTGCTTTGAGACCCGGGGGGGTACTCCGCCAGAATTTGGGTAGGGGTGTTCCGCTGGGATTCTGAAAGGGGCACCCTGTTTATGACAAAAAAAAAAAAACAAATTTGTAGACCCTGTTCATGACAAAAGATATAATTAATTGCACTGAGTTCCTGTTTCAATTATCATGTCATCTCGCGTATCGTTTTTTTTACGACCATAATAACCAGTTTCGGTCAATACGAAAGTAGAAACCCTGAATATGACAGGAAGCTCAGGAAGAACTTGGAACTTGAGTGAAATTGCATACCCTGTTTATGACAAGAAGCTCGAAAAACCATAACCTGTTTAGCGGATCATCCCCGTATAGTCCATATATTGGAGTACCCCCCCGGGCTTTGAGACTAGAGGAAAGCTATCTGTATTTCCCCAGATATGGGGCAAGGTTCTTAGAAAATACCCCTATATTCCACCAGCCCCTGGGGCAAAATTGTTATGGAGTTGAAATAACAGATCACGAAAGTAACACAAAACAGTAGAGTGCACACACTAAATCTATAAAACAAATTGGAGACAAGATCTTAGTAACATGTATAGCAAATAGAGCATTTGATAATATCTTAACTTTCTGAAACTCTTACTGAAATACTAAATCAGCATCTATCTCAAGCTTCCACTTGCTGCTACAGTTGACGTGTCGCTACAGTTACAGTAACTTGACCTTCAGTATCCGCCATTTTGTGCACAACTAGTTTTCAGTTTACGAGCGGTGTAGGTTAACACAGCAACCCCAATGCCATAAAATCAGTCAAAATAAAACTCAAACAAAAAACAATGTTTATACCTCCGTTTGCCTTTTTAGACCTTTAGAGTCCAATACCTTATTGAAAACAGCTCTTTACAAAGAACTCTAATGCTTCCAGGGGGTTTCAGAACATTTTATCTATCTACCACTATTCCCCCAGGTACTGGGGCAAGGATTTAAGGCTAAGTCCCCACTTTCCACACATTTCCCCGAGTCTAGCTAGGGGTCCCCCCCCCTCGTGGAAGCCGATGACAAGTGCATTACTTAGGGATCACAAACCCAGTTACCAGTATTGTCTCATATTATCATCATTCAATCACTTTGATGATATTAATGATTTAATGTTATTTTGTTTCTTTACTCATATCTCTCTTTCAGTGCATTAGTTAACTTCATGTATTATTGGTATCCTCCTTTTTGAGTTTCTTGCTAATGGACCACTTTTGAAATAATAATCATCTATCTATCCATCAAACCTGCACTAAAAGGCTTTAAACATTTTAATATCATCTATTGGAGAGAAAAGTCTGGCCATGGCTCATGCTTCTCTCCACACTTCTTTCTTGTTTACATACTTCCTGATGCTTTATTACCAGACAGAGCATGGAAAAAGCTGTTTATTTGTTATATAAATTATGAGTTTTTTATGGAATGTCTTCTTCAGCTCAAAATGCTAGGGGGAGGGGTTGTACTCTCATATATAAGCATAGGATTTGATATGTTGATGCTTCAGGGGTGAATCCAGGAATTTTAGAAGGGGGTGACCATTACGAAGGTTTTAACAGAAATTCTAGGAAGGGGAGGGGGGATGGTGACTGTTCCTAATGATATATTGAGAAAGTTGAGCAAAAGGGGGTGATTAGTCACCTTTTACCACCCCTGTGTGTCAATATCAAAAATAGTGTTGTTAATCTCAGATAAAAGTGCACTACTCAGCATCTTCAAGTCTTCAATAGGATCTTTGTTTTTCTTAAACAAATTTCGAAGCACATTTTGTTCAAATGTTTTTTGACCTGATCTGTAATTTACTCAAGAAATTGTCATTGAAATTAGTGTTTGTTTTATGGGAATGTAATTTAAAGATTTTCTTGTTTTATATGGATGTCAACAGAGATTTCAGCAGCACATCCCAACCAATGCCAGAATAACACACTCACTCCCCTGACATCTGAGCCCAAAACCCTGATCCTATCAAAGACATGGGAAGTGGAAGTTTAGCCTTGATTATGAGGCTTTAGTAGTATGGTAATTCATGTAACATGCCTGGGGGGGGGGGGGGGGGGGGGGTACTCCCCTATCTTCCCTATACAGGTACGTGCTGCCAAACAGGGTATGGTTTTCAGCGATTCTACTCTGGAACAGGGTATATAAAATCGCTCTCACTCTGGAACAGGGTATATGAAATCACACTCTCTCCTCTCTGGAACAGAGTTTTCAGCAATCTTGCTCTGGAACAGGGTATGAATTCCAGCAATTTTTGCTCTGAAACAGAGTCAGGGTTCAGAGGGCTCAGCGGCACATCCATATGGGCAAGAGTACCCCCGGGGTAACATGGTATGAACGCATGAATCACCAAATACGTTTATTTATTTATTTATAAAAATAATGTACGTCATGTAAACTATGTTCATACAAAAATAAGAAAGGTTTAGTAGAATTGATAGTGAGTTCACTACTTTCACAGCACATCTATTGATCCTTTTAAGTTTTAATTTTTTTTGGATAGTTTTATTATCCAGGTAGAATTTCAATAGCTTTGTTGCCCTGCAAATGACCTGCAAATGCATTTGAGACAATGCGTCACTCCTGACGTCATCCAAGGCTCCAATCATGCGCAGTGTGGCAGTTCGGAAGGACCCCCAGCATCGATTTGGTTGGCAAGAACGCCATTGCTGTAATCATGGCGGACCTAAATAGCAGTCTAACAGCCATGGACTGGCTGCCTAAGCTTAGTGTTGGCTCGGCACTCAGTGGCCAACAACTAAAGAATAATAATAACAACAACGATGCGTGTAAGGACAAACAAGCTGTACGAAAAGCTCCCGGTTCTCCACTCGATCCTGGAGCCGTTCTGGACGAAACGGAGGCAAGACAACACCAAACCAGGGAAAGTAAACCTCCGTATTCCTACGCTAACCTCATCACTTTTGCAATAAACAGCTCCCCAAAAAAGAAAATGACCTTAAGTGAAATTTACCAATGGATATGTGATCATTTTCCGTATTATAAGGACGCTGGTAATGGTTGGAAGGTAAGGTTGCATTTCACGTTTCTTGGTCTCCGGGTAAGATATGATTGCATATAGTATTCCGTAACCCAGGTAATTTGTTTTGTTCGACTAGAATTCCATACGACATAACCTATCTCTCAATAAGTGCTTTATGAAGGTTCCAAGGAGCAAAGATGATCCTGGCAAGGCGAGTACTTAATCTCACTCTCTTGGATTTTTGTCTAAGCTTGAATCAATAATCTTGTAGCTCATGTTGAAGTGATATGTAAGACTTAATGGTTAATTTATTCAGGGATCTTACTGGGCTATCGACCAAAATCCCCAAGAAGAAAGCTTTCCTTCAAGACAGAACAGGAAACGTAAACCAAGTGATTCAAGGGTAAGTATTCAGTAGTATGTATAGTAATGATTGAGGGCATTTGTAACAGTGTAAAATACGTCAACACTTAACATGGCACCCCAAAACAGAGCACAGTTCGACCCAGTGTTATTACTATTATTAAAAATATATTTATCGAGCTATGTTTGCTGTTCTTGAATTTCTATTGTACGAACGAAATTATCAAAATTGGCAAATCAATCACTGACCCTACAGCGATCGAATTGGTAGGAATTATGCGATTTCGAAGAACGAATTTAATATTTTCTTCCGCTGATTTCTTATCATAACAACGTTATCCCACATAAAAGGGCATGGGTATTGGAGTTGGAGTTTTGAAGCATAATGATATCTTCGAGTGCTTGAGGAAAATAATGCTTGACAGCACTTAATGTTTTCAATCTGAACTTCGCTGCAGCAGTCTTGCATGATTGAGCTTCGGCCATTGTAATTAAGCCAAAACGTGTGTGAAAATCTTCAGTAGCCTACTTCATTGGATCCGAATGACAATTTTCAGTTGTCTGCTTTATCTTTCTTCTTCATACCCTTGATTGTCTTTTGATGTCAGTTTTGTATTAGGGCGTGAACAGTTTTATGAGAGCAAATTAACTCCAAAAGTTCGAACCTATGAATATTAGCTACTTATATATGAGATTTCTGATTGTCTATTATGGAAATATTTGAGATAAACCTCATTATAAATTTATTAGTGCTGTATGGACTTATTTCTAATTGATACATTTCTAAAATATGTCAATTTTTGCTTGAAGTCTTACATGAAGAAGAAGTTTTGTTTCAATTTACTTCATCTTCTGAGCCAGAGGTCCATATTTAAGCTTTCAATGCCATATCAAATTTTATTATATGGCAAGGTAATTTCACATGCTATGATTGGTCAATTTGCGGTCCATAGCTAACGGTACGGACCGAAAAATGAAATGGTTCACTGAGTGTACATACTTATGATCTTTTAAAACATTCAAATCTTCGTTATAAAAAGATATTTCTGGATGAAACTCGTCAGGAAACCTTAATAAATTATTAAAGATAACCAAGAAAATATTAATATTCTCTTGATATAGCTGAAAGTCACTGGTTTTTAATGTAAAACTTATCATAACAAGCGACAACTCTTTCGATCAAGGCTCTACACGGCACTACTTGAGCGATTCGTACGACTAGAAAAAACTAGAAAAACTAAAACTAAAACTAGGTGAAACTATGAACTAAAGGGTGGTGAATAGTGGCTAATTCAGTAAATGAAATTAAGATAGTTTTACAAGAAGATGAATTGATGTAAATTTGTTATTTCAGTAAGCTAATACAACGTCAAGTTTGAACTTATCTGAATCTATTTGGTGAAGAAGTCAGTTGTTTATCTTGTTAACGCTGTCGGTCTTAACCAGTTTTCTAGGCTCATCTGCTTTTTAAGTATTTCCATATTTCAGTAATATTTCATCCACACTTGAATTTGAAGGCACTTGTGGGCAGTATCTTTCTTAAATGAGTCAAAAGTGTGTCTTCATGACTTCGACCATTGTGCATATGGTAGCCTAGCTGCTTCAAACAGTCAAAACGTTGAAAAATGTCAAAAAACTATCCATGTTCAGCAAGCTGTAATTTTTCAAAGCTTCTCATTCATTTCTGGAGAGATTTTGAGTTTTTTGCCCCGTAAAAGGCAGGAATACAAACGGAAGACGGTAGTATTTTTCATCTTCAGTTGATTGTGAATATCTTGAAGTCGAAAGGAAGTTTGAAGTACGACAGTTTTCTTCTCAATCTCATGTTGAGTTCTTGAGGTCTTCTTTTGATGCCTTTTTTGCTTTATGACTTATGGCACGTACAGGAAGCCCTTCAGATGCAGTTCTCGTTTGACATGCGCTGTCAACTTTATTTTTCGTTGCTTTGCCTCTTCTTAATCTCAATGCCTTGCCATATGGTAAATATTTTATTAACCTCGTTTGTTCAGTCCGTACCGTTAGTTATGGATCCTCGTTTTTTCCACTCTTTTATGGCCCACTCGCTACGCGCCTGGGGCATAAGGCAGTGGAAAAAACTCGGTCTATAACTTACGGTATGGACCTTGCACAGTAAACTTGTGGATACCCTCCTCTGAATCCTATTTGCACTCTTGAGATATTGGGTTCCCTGTGTTCATCCTGATGGCAAGAGCATTGTGTTATGCATATTAAATTACACCTTATATCTTGACCTTGATGTGTGTGTCTGACAAACAATTTATATGTACTTACACTGTGAAAAAGTACCAGGTTATTCTATAAAAATCTGTTTAGAAATGTTATGCAACTTGTCTTCATTAAAGTCTGTTTGATAAGACTTATAGATCTCTTTTCCCCCCACTGTTTTTTCTCCAGAAATCCTAATTATTATCATGAATGGCGTAACAGAATTATTTTTAGTTTGTTCTTGTTAAAAAAATTAAAATGTACCTTTTAATGCTTCTTATGTTGATTTATAGTATTCTTCTCTAGTTTAGGAGCTATTTTATTATATCTGATGCAATATGCATCAATCTTTCCTTGATTTTTTTGATATAAATATATATATATTATATCTTTTGATATAAATAATCAAAAGGTAAAGTTATGTGCGAGTGGGAGCCTATTTCTTCAAATAGTTCCTTAATGGTAATTACTCATTGTGAGAATATTTCAGTGGTTTGAGGTAATTAAAGAATATTGTGCTACGATAACTTAATTAAGGTGGCATATCTAAGGCACATTGATAAATTCTCCTACAATTGTCAATTCAAATAGTGATAGCATAAGTTCATAGTTCTCAACCTTCACTAATAGAGACAAACACTAAATGTGTGCAATAGTTATCACTATTTAGCAGTAAATAGCACTAATTAAACAAAAGAAAACAATAGAATTAGCATAAAATAACACAGTTATTTAGTGATATTTAGTTGCACACTTTTAGTGTTTGTACTCTACTGCACAGTTCCCTACCAATCTCACTAACACCATTCAAGTTACACAATGAAGAGCAGTGCTCAGAGCTTTACATTTTTGTCTTTCTGTTGTTCTTGTAGCTTTCTCCTTGTGGCACAGAAGAAAATCAGTGGTCTCCTAACAGTAGTCAAGGATCTAATTTGTCTTCTTCACCTGTTGCTCATTCTCCAACACTTGCTTCATTACAAGGGGATCATTTCTATACGTCTTCACCCAATAGCCAATCATTTCTTGGAGTTTCACCAAGTTCTTCATCTAATGTTCATTCTGGTAATGGTATGATGGGAAATGGTGCACAAGGTGGATTAAACAATTCAAATAACTTTGGGGAACCACCACATAAAATTTTCCCAGAGATTGCATTTGAAGATCTTAGTGCTTCTTTCAAGAACTTATACAAGTCTGTTTTTGATGCTTCACAGAACAGTAGCAGTTTTGGTAAGTTTCTTTTAAATATAATACAAGTTTTGCATCATTAAATGCCATTGATTGCAATCTTCTACTCCTTGAAATCCTTAAAAAGCCCTGGAATCCAAAACCCATATTTAAGTGCACTTGAAAAGCAAGAATGGTAAGGTCGTTAACTTAAATGCTATTTTCCATTATTAAACCTTGATGTTATGAAGCCGGCTTCAAATTCTCTTTTAAAGTCATAGTCAAAAAGTCTTCGAAAAATGTGTCAGTTGTTCCTATTTATTGTTAAGAAGAAATTCCCAAACAAAATTGATCCTTGAAAAGCTTAATTTTGAACCTTGAAATGGCCTTCAGAACTATGCATGTTTAGCCGTGCATATTTGGGTCCTAACAAATCAAGTTCAATTTTTTGACTTGCATCAATAAAAAATTGATCTGTACTGTTTAAACAACTTGTCCTGATAACTTTTCGTATGGCAAGCCCAAGTAAAATTTGACCAATAGCATATGAACACCTTGT